AGTGTTGTGCTGTTGACTGGGGGGACCCCCTTGGCCCCCCAGCTTTGCAGGAAGCTGCCGATGCCTATCCAGAAGGCCATGGCCAGTCCGGCCAGCAGCCCCACGATGGCTCCCTGTGACAGGGCACAAAGAAGGGCACTGGCCCCCGTGCGGACTCAGGGTGCCCCACACCTCCCCACACACCCGCACGGGGCTGGGGGACGCTGGCCGGGCCAGGGGACACTCACCGTGGGGTTGGCGCAGGGGAAGAACATGCCGAGGCAGAAGAGCCCCAGGAGCGGGCCCCCCACCATGCCGAAGATGCTGATGGCCGCCTGTGGGGACACGGCCTTCAGCACCAGCCCCACGCCCCTGGGGTGCCACAGCTGAGGTCACTCACCCCACCCGGGGTGCCACAGCCGGGTCACTCACCCCATCTGGAGTGCCACAGCCGGGTCACTCACCCATCCAGGGTGCCACAGCCGGGTCACTCACCCCATATGGGGTGCCACAGCTGGGGTCACTCACCCCATATGGGGTGCCACAGCCGGGTCACTCACCCCATCCGGGGTGCCACAGCCGGGTCACTCACCCCATCCGGGGTGCCACAGCCGGGTCACTCACCCCATCCGGGGTGCCACAGCCGGGTCATTCACCCCATATGGGGTGCCACAGCCGGGTCACTCACCCCATATGGGGTGCCACAGCCGGGTCACTCACCCCACCTGGGGTGCCACAGCCGGGTCACTCACCCATCCAGGGTGCCACAGCCGGGTCACTCACCCCATCCGGGGTGCCAGGGCTGCTGCAGCCCCGTGCCTACCTGCAGCACAGGTCCCAGCATGGAGGACACGTACGCCATCCCCAGGCACAGCAGCCCATAACCGAGAGCTGGGGAGGGGAATGGGGAGTCATGGTAGTGCTGGGGACCCCCACCATGCCAGCCCCTGGCCACCCCCCATCCACTGACCCAGCAGCTTGGAGAGCAGCGTGGCCCGCGACTCCGACAGCCCCGGGAAGTGCGGCCGCACCAGGTCCTCCATGGTCACCGTGGCCAGCGAGTTGAAGGCGGAGGAGATGGTGCTGGGGAGGAGAGGGAGCAGGAGGGGGCTCGGCCAGGACACCTGAGCCACCTCCCCAGGGCAGCCCACTCACCTGAGGGCCCCACTGAAGAGGCAGGCGACAAAGAGCCCCGGCAGCCCCGGCAGGTCCTGCAGCACATCCATCACGAAGAACAGCACCAGCTGCGGCAGGAGGTCAGTGCAGGGCTTGGGTCAGCAGGGGAGCGGGAGCGGGAGGGGCTCTAAACCCACCTGGTCAGAGGAGGCAGGGCGCCGGCTGGGCGCCAGTGGGTGCTCCAGGTTGTAGACGAACATGACGAGGCCGATGAGGCAGCTGAGGCAGAGCACAATCTGCTGGCAGGGGAACACGGCGTAGCAGGAGCTGCGGGCGCCGTGGGGCCGTCAGACACGGGCAGTGGCTGGGGGCCCATCCCGGCTGTGGGGACCCCCAGTCCCAGCCCCACTCACAGCTTGGCCTCCCGCTCGCTGCGGGCGCAGAGGTAGCGCTGCACCTGCGCCTGGTTCACCCCGTACAGCGACAGCATCATGAAGATCCCGCCCACGGACAGCGACCAAAAGGTGTGACGTTCCAGGGGGTTGGGGTCCAGGCTGTGGGGAGGACCGGGGGGGGGTCACGGTGATGGGTCTTCACTGGCACCCCATACCCCGTGGGAAAGAGGATAACAGGGATGGACCACACCACCGCTCCAGGGTCCCTTTCCCCCACCCCGGGCTGCCCCAAGTGTCCCCAGAGCATGACAGGGGTGTCCCAGGAGATGACTCACTCAATGCCGGCGATCTTGCCCTCCTGCTCAGCCACGCGCCAGACATGGGCCATGCCCCCCACCCGCCATGCGCCCACCACGATGACGGCAACCTGCCCCGCCAGCATCACTAGCGTCTGGAACACATCTGTCCAGATGACGGCCTTCAGGCCACCCTGATGGGGACACACGGTGCCCGTCACCACAGGATGACAGTGCTCACCCTGGCACGGCAGGGGCACAGGGCGCCTGCGGCAGCAGGGACTCACCAGCGTGGTGTAGAGTGTGCAGACCAGCCCCATGGTCAGCACCGCGCTCCAGAGGTCAAAGCCCGTCACTGGAAGTGGCAGAGGACATTAGTGGGCTGAGGGGCGGCAGCCCCCGGGCACGGCCCCACAGTTGCCCTCATCATACCTGCGTTGAGGGCCAGCGCAGGCGCGTAGAGCACCACCCCCATGTAGATGACCTGCGGGGAGGGAGAGCAGTGCTGAGCCACGCCCAACGCCCCAAACTCCGCAGCCCCCACAGCCCCAGCTCCACTCACCATTTGGAAGATGAAGGTGACAGTGCCAAAGACCCGCACTGTCTTGTTGAAGCGCAGCTCCAGGTACTGAGAGGAGAGAGGTCAGAGCACCCGACTGCAGGGTGCTCTGTGCTCCCCACGGTCCCCTGCCCTGCCCGTGTCCCCTCTGCCCTCCCCATATCCCCTCTGCCCTCCCATGTCCCCTCTGCCCTCCCATGTCCCCTCTGCCCTCCCATGTCCCCTCTGCTCTCCCCGTGTCCCCTCTGTCCCCCCCGTGTCCCCCCTGCTCACCTCATAGGTGCTGGTGATGTGCAGACGGTAGAAGACAGGGATGAAGATGTGTGCCGGGATGAGCAGCCCCAGGAAATAGGAGCAGCCGAGGAACCAGTACTCGGTGCCAAAGCGAAAGATCTCAGCTGGCACGCCCAGGATGGCCACAGCTGACTGGAAGGAGGCCAGCAGGGACAGGGCGACGGGCAGGCAGCCCATGTCACGGTTGGCTAGCAGGAACTCCTGCACCGTGCGCTGCCGGTCGCCGCTCAGGGCGTAGAAGAGCCCGATGGCTGAGGACAGCACCAGCAGCAGCGCGAAGATGCTGTAGTCGATGGCCGTGAACTCCATGGTGAGCGCGTCCCTGCGCCGCCGCCCTGCCGCTGCCAGCGCTGCCCAGCCGCCCCCGCCCCGCCGGCCTCATGGGCGCACCTGAGCCCAGCAGCGCGTCCTGACCGGCACCGGCCTGGCCCTGGCAGCTGCGGGAGGGACGTGTCAGTGCTGCAGGGAACTTCGCTCGCTCTGTCTCAACCTCAAGGACCCAGAGTGGGGAAAGCGGCCGGTCCCTCCTCCTTCTCCTCCTCCTCCTCCCTCTGGGCCGGGCTTGGCCCCCCTGGGCCACCCCACCTGCCCCGTTGAAGGAAACTGGAGAGTCTTCAAAGAGCGCCAAGACAATGGCTGCAAAAACAGTCCCACCCTGGCCCCCCGCAGCACCGGCACCACCAGTCCCGGCAGAACTGGCCAAGCTCAACACAGCTGCCTCCGGTGCAGGACAGCCCCAGTCCCACCTGAGCCAAACCCAACACAACCACCCACGGAGCTGAACAGCCTTGAGCCTGCAGTGCTACTCCCACCTGAGCCAAACCCAACCCGGCCCAACCACCCCAGCATTGCACAGCCCCACCAAACCCGGCAGCACCAGTCCCACCAGCACCAAAGGCAACGCAGCCCAACCCCTCCAGCAGCCCACGGCTCTGTCAGAACTGCCCCCAGTGCACAGGAAGGGACAAAGGGGAGCTGGCAGCCTCAGGGTTCTGGGCACCAGCCAGGTGGAGCAGGCGCCTGAGCATCCACCGTCTCTGGCACCCTGACCCCACTGACTGGGATTGCCCAGAGCACTCCGTGCTCTGCCCCTGCCCTGGCTCCTGTGGAGCAGGAGGGGACAGACTGTTGCCCCTGCTTGCCCCCACACCCAGAGGACTGCGACTGCAGGCACCTGGGAGCCGTAGGTGCCACAGGGCTGTGGATACCCCCCTGGCAGGCCTGGGAGGGGGTGCAGGCTGCGGGGGACCCTCTGTTCCAGCAGGGCAGCGTTAGGGGCACAGGGAGGACAAGTCTGGACTGGGGGTGGCAGCCAGGGAGTGGCACAGTGCCCACCATGATCCCATCATGATCCCTGGAGGAATGCTTGCCTGGGAATGATTGGCGGAATTAGGCTGAGCCCCTCCTGGCACCCCTGGCACAGCCTGCCTCGGCCTGCCTGCACAGGGCCGGGGGCAGCTGAGCTGGCACACGGCTCTGCAGCAGCGGCAGCGCCAGCAGTGTCTGGGTGGGGAATGGGGTGAGAGGGCAGTGTCTCGTCTGCCACCGGCCCTGGCCTGTCCCTGACCAGGACAGGCTCCACGTGCAGCAGCTCATGGCCAGGGTCCAAGGTCACTCCCCACATTCCCCCATGCAGACTAAACATGGGAGGTCACACCGCGTCCCCAGCGGGCACACCACAGCCCCAGCCTCCTGGACGGCCCTGGCCCAAGGCTCCCGTGCCCCACAGACCCCCGGCGCCCCCGAGGCTCTGCTGCCTCCAGCGCTGCTGTCCCCGCACCCCCATCACCTGCCGGTCACAAGCCCTGCTGGCCCGGTCACCGCACTGAGGGCCTGCTGCCCCCTGGCCCAGACGGTCCCGGAATGTGCCCCGCAGGACTCAGCAGCCCCGGGTGTCCCGTCCCCGCGGGTGAGCCCGCCGCCCGTCCCCGCCGCGCTCAGCCTGCCTCCCGCGGTGCCCCGCTCCTCACGCTCCATCACGCCTTCCTGTCACCCGGGGATCGCGGGGACGCCGCTCCGGCCGCCGCTGTGCCCGGAGCCCTCATCCCGGGGCTCTCAGCGGCTCTACTCGCCTTCCCCGGTGTCCGCGGTGTCCCTAACACAGGGCTCTGCTCCCCGTCCCCGGTGTCGCCAGAGCCCCCATCCCGGGAGCCGCCCCCCCGGCCCCCGCTGCCCGCAGAGCGCCCGGTCCCGGCGGCGGGCGGCGGCGGTGACCTTGCCCCGGCGGCCCCGGTGCGACACTCACCGGCGGCGGCGGCACCACTGGCCCCATGTGCCGCCGCAGCCGGGGCGCGCCGGGATGACGCCGCGGGCAGGCGGGGCCGCTCCGCCGCCGCTTCCGCGCGGCCGCCGCCGACGGCGTCACCGCGGGCCCCGCGCGGGGCTCCCGTCCCGGTCCCCGCCGCATCCCCGCCACCGGGCGGTCACCGCGCCCCGCTGCCCCCGCTGCGGGGGTCCCTCCGCGGTTTGGGTCCAGAGGGCGCCCGGGCCGGGCCGGGGGGGGGAGGGAACGGGCACGGAGCTGCCGCCGCCCGCTCGGGGCTCCCGCCGTGGCTCGGGGATGCTCGGGGCCGGCGGGGCCGTGGGCGCGTTCGCGCTGCTGCTGCCGCTGCTGCTGCCCCGGGCCGCCCGCGGGGCCGCGGTGAGCAACGGGGACCGGGGTCGGGGTCACGGAAACGAGGGGAGGGCCGGAAACTGGGGGGCTCCGGTGGGCACGGGATGTCACGGATCAGAGGTGCCGAGAGGTCAGGGAGTGCCCGGAACGGGGCTGGGGGCTCAGGGGGCGGTGAGTCTCCGATCGGGGATGTCCTGAGGTCGGGGGTGCCCGGCTTGGAGGTGCCCGGGCGTCAGGGAAGCGGTGGGTTTCCCTGAGGCCGAGGAGGTTGTCCTTTAACGGGGAGCGGCGGTAGCCGGGGCTCGGGTCACGCCCGGGTGTCGGGTCACGCCCGGGGGTCGGGGACAGCCGGGGGTCGCGGGGTGCTCGGGAGATGGGGGTGCCCCTGTGCCGGCGCTGCCCATGGCCCTCCCACCTCCCCAGGTGTGCGGGCTCTGCCCGGGGCCGCCGCGGAACGGCTCCATCGTGGCCCGGTTCTGTGAGTCCCGGCACGACACCGAGAGCGACGGGCGCTGCTGCCGGCAGCGGGGCCCGACCCCAGGGCAGCTTCTGGGGTACGGGGGGCTCGGGGGAGAACGGGGATGCACAGGCTGGGGGTGAATCTGGGGTGCTGGGGGGTCGGGGGCCATGTGATGCGGGTGCTCGGGGGATGGAGGGTGCCAGGATGGGTTTTTGGGTTCACAGGGGTGTCAGAGGAGTGGCGGGGCTGGGGATGCCTGGATGGAGCATCCTGGGTGGTGGTGGGGGGGAACCAGGTACAGATCGGGGCTGAGATGGGTGCTGGGGGTCACAAGAGCATCAGGGGAAAGTGTGGGGGACACACATACTACTGTGTCCCCAACCACTGCTCCTTCCCAGGCTGGACCTGAGCAACTGCTCCCTGCACAGTGTTCCCCCGGGACTGGCCGAGGCCACCACTGCCATGGTCCTGTGAGTTCCCCCGGGCCCCCTCTGGCCCCTGCAAGGAGCTGGACTGGGCTGGGAGAGGGGGTTGGGGCAGGTTTGGTGGGACATTCCTATGGGCCCAGGCCAGCACAGCCATGCCCTGCTGGTCCCAGGGGAAGCGGCCACTTCCTGCCCTCGTGGCTGTCAGTCCACAGGGCCTGACCAAAGAGAAACCACCCCCATTTTCAAACGGGGAGCCCTGGGATCTGTCTGTGCCAGCAGCCTCACCCCTGTGCCCAGCAGGAACATGGGACAAATCCTTCTGGAGCTCTGTCACGGTGCACATTGTCACAGGACAGCCCTCCAGTGGGGGCCTGTGCTGGCACGTGAGAGATGAGCCACATGGTCACATCTTGGCTTTTGGCACAGTCTCACAAAGTGTTCTCATCCCCAGGCTGGAGGGACAGGAGCCAGGGAGGTGCCACGTCCAGGGCACTGGCAGGGCTCAGAGCTCAGTGTCCAAATGTAGCCCAGTGAGCCGTGGTGGCCTTCAGGGCACCGTGACACCTCAGCTCGTCAGTGTTTTTGTTAATGACCAAGCGGTCCCTCACCGTGACACCTCAGCTCATCAGGGTTTTCGTTAATGACCAAGCGTCCCTCAGCAGCTCTGCAGAGACCTTTGAGCCCCAGCTGTAGGGCTGCACTGCCAGGGCCTCGGGTGGGCAGGGGGGGTTGTAGGTGCTTGGAAACCGCCTGAGTTCAGTGCGGTGCTGGGGGTACCCCGGTGCTCGCCAGGCCGGGGGTGCCGGATGGGACTGAAGGTCCGTGTGCTCGCAGGGACTTGACTGAGAACCCGCTGACAGCTCTCCCCAGTGGTTCCTTCCTGGGCTTCATCCACCTGCAGAGCCTGTGAGTGCTGGGGGGAGTCAGGGGCTGGGGGTCACTGCGGTGCCGGTGCTGAGCTCTGCCCCCAGCGCGGTGCCGCTGACGCTGCAGTGCCCAGGCGGGAGGGACGCCTGGCAGAATGTGACGGTGGACAGGAGCAGCCGGCTGTGCCAGGGACAGAGGAACCCCTGCAACAGCTCTGTGGAACTCGGTATGGTGGGGGACTGTGGCCCTGGCGGGGGGTGCATGGGGCTGGCAGGGGCTGGCCTTGGCCCCTGATCCCTTGCTCTGCTCTGCCAGCCTGGCCATGTCCTGAAAACTCAGTGTGTGCCCCTGACGGCCCCGGCCTCATCCAGTGCCTCTGTGACAGTCCCTTCCATGGCTACAAGTGCCTGCGTGAGGTGAGTGCCTACAGGACTAAGCCTCTCTCTGGCTGGGCCCTGGCCGGAGCAGCGGGGGCTGCAGGGAGCGGTGATGCTCACTCCGGTCCCGGGCAGGGCCCGTTCCCGATGCTTCTCTTTGGAGGAATCCTGGGCACTGTCACCGTGTCCCTGTCCCTGCTGCTGTGGCGCACCCAGCGGAGGAAGGCCAAGACCCCCTGAGCAGGGCAGGGGGCTGTGCCTGGGCTGGAAGCTCTGTGGCCAGGGAGGCTCTCAGGATCAATAAAGCTGCAGGTCCTCACTGTGTGTCCGTCTGCTTCCTTCCCAGGGGAAAGCTGGGTGTGTGGTGGAACCCACGGGAGGGGGGCATGCAAATTCCCACTGTAACAGATACATGTTATAACATCGGTTTTTGCAACTATTAAAATGGATTTATATATGTAGTGTTAAAGTAACTTTGCTATATAGTTATGTTCTTAGTTAAGCTTAGGTATGGTAGGGAAATAGCTGATATCAGTGTGCTTGCGTTAAAACGCCTGCTTGGGTGGGATAACATCCAGTGAACACGGGATGAGAACACCCGTTACAGATCTGCCAACGATCAGCACTCACTGTCCGAAGGCAGTGTGGACCAAGGCCCAAACTGGAAGTGATAAAGAGAAGGAGCCAAAACCAGAGCTGAGAAACACACATGCTCTAAAAAAGTGGACCCAAGGAAGGGTCATGTAAAATAGTTTCTGGAAAATGTAAACTAGTTTCTGGATATGCATAAGGGTCTATGAACATGGAAGAGGCTGATGTAAGGAAAAAGGCATCCCCGAAGGTGAAGGTGTGGTGTTGGCGGAGTGCCAAGATCCGCTCGGCCGTAATAAACTTTGCTTTATGGTAAGTGTATCGTCCTTGGTTAAATGTTAACAATTTTCACAGGAAAGCGAACGTGTTTTTCACAGCAAACCTCCCCGCGTCCTCACGGCGTCTGACCGAGAGCGGGGCCAGCTCCGACAGCCGGGAGGATCAGTGGCAGACCCGGAGTTACATCAATCATTGCTGTGCAGCTTGATTCTGTTGTTAACCAAAGAAACCAGGGGAGAGCGCGAACGCAGTCCCCCACTACCACAAATTATGCAGTCGAGTTTCCCGCATTTGGGGAAATCGCAGGGGTCAGCACACCCGGAGTGCAAGGGATGAGCCTCGCCCTGGGAAAACCACCTGCCTGATCATGGTGTCTCCCCTGCCAGGTAAGTATGACTTCCTCCCGCCCCGACCGCAACCCCCGCCCGCCGCACGCCTCGCCACCACACGGCCGCCCCGAGCCCGGCCCCGCTGCCCCGGCCCCGCGCACGGCGCGGCCCGCACGGCCCGGTCCGCGCGGCCCGGCCCGCGCAGCGCCCGCGGACACGCGAGGGCAGCGCGCTCTTTGCGCGGGCTGTGTCCCGGCATGCCGCGCGGCGCTGCCTCATTTGCATGGACACGCCCCCAGCCCCGCCGCTCCCGGAGCCCCGGGCCGGGCCCCGCCGGGAGCCCCGTGTGCCGCGGGGCCGCTGCCCCGAGCCCGCAGCGCTTCGCTCCCTCCGGGCCGGGCTGTTCCCAGCACCGGCCACGGGCTCAGCGGTCACGAGCTCCCGCTGCCGGAATTACCTTTTCCCCGGGTGCTCCCGGTCCTGCCGGGACCCTCCCGGTGCTCCCGGTCCGCACAGCCCGCCCCTCTCGGTTTTCTCTTTACCTCAGACAAACGGTGAGCCGAGCGTGCGGCGTTCCCGGGAGAACCGCTCGGTCCCAGGCTCTGTCTGCAGGCACGGGTGGACAACTCAAAAAGCTGCAGACTTCCATTCAAACCTCGAGATATCATTTCCCCCTTAGAGCCGGATCTTCCCACTCAAGGGCAGAGAAAAGGCGGCTCTGTTCACCCCCAGGCCTACGAGAGAAGACATCTGTCACACCAACATCCCAAAGTGGGTCCTGGTCCCTGGGACCGGGGCCAGAGAGCGCTGGGATTCGGGACAACCCCAGGAACATCAGCGCTCTGGGCGCAGCGTTCCCGTAACTCTCGTTCCAGCCCACCCCGATGATTTAGGGGCACCAGAGTGGCAAATTCAAACTGGCAATAACCCAAACTGTAAAAAAGAGCCTATGAACATTTCCAGTCCTCTCTGGGCCTCTCATCTTATCAGGGTTGGTCTTTTCTCACCGCTTGGACTCCCGGTTTCAGTTCAGCTTTTAGCAGACTCACGTTTCTCTCTTGCCCCAGGACTCCCCAAAGCCCAAACCAGAAATGAGGGCACCCAAAACTTTCCCTGGCTGAATGGGCAGAGCTGCACTTTCCATGCATTTCCCAGAGGTGTAAGGAGCCCTGGACAGTCAGGATGGATGGAGACAAGAGATCTCTGAAGTCAGGTCTTGGAATATATGGTTTATTGCAAAGGGCGTGGGTGTGAAGTTAGGGATTACAGATACTTGATGCTTCAGGGGAGGGTTACAGGTGTGGGATGAACCTTACATTTCGAGGGCTGAGACACAACATTCCATCTGACCCTTGGACCTGTCTGTAGGCAGAGGGCATTGTTTAATCAAGGGGGGATTGCTTTCAACTGCCTGTACTACTGTTTTCTAGCTGTTTAGTAACTAAGGTTTGGTATCTCAAAGCTTGTTCTCATTTCAATCTCGCTTACAGTTTCTGTATTTTCCAAATCTTTTGCCAGGCAATCATATTTATAAGGCTTTCCTATTTCATCTTCCCCTACATCTCCCCTGTGCTGATGAACAAGACATTAGATACTGTCTTACTGGTTATTTTTTGCACACACTGAAGTATACAGGGTACTGCTACTACTTGTTCTGTCATGCAATGGTGCTGCGCGCTCGCCTCGGAGTTTTTTGGACTGTGTCTTCCACTTGTGAAAAATGCCAATCACTTGGTTTTTAAAATTTTAAAAGTTTAATAATAATAAAATTGTTATAAAAATAATTATACAATTAGAGTAATAAAGTTTAGAGTTAAGACAATTACAAGACAATAAAAAGCAAAGAATTATGGACGTCCGGATGCTCTCGGACACTAAGTCACGAAAAGCATGCCTTGTGAACAAAGGAATCACTCTTAAACCAATACACTTGTTGCATATTCATACATCCTTTATGGTTATGCATACATTCTATTCTAAACAAGAAACTCTGTCTGTTGTACGTCAGCTGTTTCCTTTAATCCCCTGGCATCTTCGAGTCTGAGCAAGGCCTGAAGAAATTAGCTTCTTCTGATAAGAAGCCATAAATTCCCCTCCTTTGGAAGATTTAGGTGTTCCTCAAAGCGAGTATCTCATCCCTAAAAAAAAAAAACTTCCCCCACATACATAGACTCTATTTTAACATTATGTTGTAACCTAAAACTACACTTAACACAGTACATAAGAGAATTAATACAGCATAATTTTCTAACATTACACATATAATATTCACTGTAACATTTGCAAAAAGCCAATCATAAAATATGCATTTTTCACACACTCATATCATGTCTGGATCGACACTGCAGGCAAGATGCTTTCCCTTCCTGCAGACAGAGCAGCAATCTGGCGCTTGTGCACGCCTTTTGACCTCCGGGCAATTCCTCATGATATGGCTGGGCTTTTTACAGAAGTAGCAAAGTCCTGCAGGAACAGCAGCTTGCACAGCAGCCACAGTGCTGCCTTGTTGCTGGGAGTTGAGATGCAAGGCAGCTAGGATTTCAATAAGTTTTTGGTCTCGTGCTTCTGCTTGTGCCGCCTGTGCTTCTGCTTGTGCTCTGAGAGCCCTTTCAATTTGCTCTCCTAGAGTTTTTTCAAGTTCATTTGCCTGAATTGTTGCTACGTGCTGTGGACCCCCAATGTTGTTGCAGGCATCAAGCATTTCAGCCACTGTAGGTTTTTCTTTTCCCAGGGTGTTGATAACTCTTTTGCATTCTGCATTGGCGTTATTTTCAACAATGTCCCGTATAATTATTGGGCGAGCTATATCATCATCACATTGCCTTTCTGCTGCTTGGATTACCCGGTCCACAAAGGTGATGAATAGTTCAGATGACTCTTGGCAAATTAGATTGTAGGCTTTTTCGAAAGTTCCTGCAGGCTGAATTTTTAAAAAGGCTCTGTAAGCCATCTTTTTGATGTCATCCAATGCCATTCTGGGTAAATTCACTTGAATATCATTTTGATCATCAGGAGGGTCGCCCATTAGTTTAGACAAGGTGAGGGCACGAAGGTCTGCATCAGTACTTTGTCTATAAGTGGCTAGGACCCCTGTAAGCAGTCTCTTCCATTTGAGTTCCCATAGCATATATTGTGAATCTGTAAGAATCATACCAGCAAGATATTTACAGTCATTTGGTGTGAGTGTATGGCCTATCAGGGTACTTTTCAGCAGTTGCTTGAAATACGGAGAGCAAATACCACTGTCCTTTATCTCTTGTTGCAATTCTTTCACCTCATGAGATGTGATAGCTGTCCACCTTCTAGGACCACCCACTTGGTGGCTGAATATCACAGGCATAGATAAAGCATTTAGACTTTCCTCTTTGCAAATTTCGCATCTGACTTCATGCCAGTCTGTCAGTTGAAGATTATAAAAACATTTCTGGGAATTTTCTAAATTTGGGACTATTGGTGGTGAATTTTTAGGGCTCGGTGTCTTATTTTGGGTTGAGAAATATGTGCCAAACTCTGGAGGGACTTTAGAGATGTTTGGGAACAGGCTTAGCTCTTTTTCGGAACTACTTTGCATTGGGTTAAAAGGGTTGGTATTTGCAGGGGCAAAGTAGCTCTCTGTCCATGCTGTATTTGTTAAAGCAGCTGTCATATTCCACCCTCCCCCTGCTCGCTGCAGGGTTTGTGTGCCTGGCTGTGGCTGTGCGGAGGAACCGTGACACAAAGGCTCCAGGAGCGGGGAAGGCGAAGGCGAGGCCTGGCGGGTGAGGGGCAGCGGCTGCGGCCCGGCCCTGCTGGGCTCGGCGGCAGGATGTGGCAGTGGAGGCAGGGAGGCAGGGGAGGGAGGCACAGCAGCGGCTGTTTGTGCGGCTGTTTGTGCGGCTGTTTGTGCGGCTGTTTGTGCCGCTGTTTGTTGTGCGGCTGTTTGTGCCGCTGTTTGTGCCGCTGTTTGTGCGGCTGTTTGTGCGGGGCCCGGCGCCGCAGGAGCGGCCCTCAGGCCTGAGGCCGCGGCGGCGAGGTCCGGCAGAGGGAGACGCGCGGAAGGACACGTGTGGGACACCGCAGAATCCAGCTGCTGTGGTGCCGAGTACAGACTCGGCGTCGGTGGAGGCAGGTGAAGGACGGC